AATTTCTGTCAATATTTTCATATATATTTTTCGTAAAATACTAAAAAAGTGGTCATAATCAACAAGTCAATAAACTACTTATTTAGGTAGTTCCAAAAGAGGCTATAATCTAGTTTATAATTGTTAAAAAAAAAATGCTTCACATTGTTTATTGAATTTAGTGTTGGTATATATATTTGTTAAAGGAAAATTTATTTATAAATTCCATCTTAAGGAATGGTGATCCGTTTAGTCCCAAAAATTTTCTTATAGACCAATTAATCCCATTGATTTTGAAAATGTAGATTTAACATATTATTTAGAAATTATATTTACGGTTATATCATTATTTCTATTATGCTTATTCTTCTTCTTCTTCTTTTTTTTCCCCTTCTTTTGTGCCAGAAAGGTAAGATACACAATCTATAAGAATCAAATTTGTGATAAATTTTTGGGTAAATTACACTGACACCCCCTGAGGTTTCTGCTTAATACAGATCCCTTTCGAAAAATTCTATTTCCATATACTTACTTACCTTAATACACATACTTAATGAAATATTATTTTAATGACAATTATACCCTAAAGTAAAACAACCCTAATGGACATCAAAACACACTCATAATATTAAGTCAAAATTTTCTCCGTACACATCATTTAAAAATTAAAAAAAAAAAATCAATACACATCTTTTGAGTTAAAAAAAATTAAATCCTAATTTTTCCATTGTTTCTTGGTTTAAATCAAGTGAAAGGATTATTAAATTTGTAGTGTGTGTGCTTACAAGTTTCATAGCCAACACAACGACTAATCTGTGAAAAAGTCACAAACTTTCATATCAGCACATGACCCTGTAGTATCCAACAGTTTCCTCACGTGTTTGCAAATCTGAGACAAGTTGTTTCATCATTTTCTTCTTGTGTTTGGATCAACTAAAAAGAATTTACTCCACACAATGAGAACTCCATATTTTCAATATGGAGTTGGTGAAAGATCTGTGTTCAGTTGGTGAAGAGCATAGTCTACAAACTCGAATCCAAGACCCAGTATGACCATTTTCATACCAAAATTTAGCCACAATAGTCTACTTTTTTTGGATATCAACTACCAAAATTATTGATTCTATTCGAAAATAAAGTTCCGAAACCAAATTTGAAACTCAACTTTCGAATTTAAGAATTTATTTCAGAAATCAAGTTCCGAAGTTTTTTACTTGTTTCGAAAGTTAAAAATCAAATAAACCTTTTTCATTCGGATAACCAGTATCAAATGAGCAAAATTGAATTTATTCTAGGAAATAACAAAGGTTTATGAAAAATAAGAGATAGATGGAGTTGTAGGTCTTTAATGGAGTTGTCAAAAGAGTACAGATAGACAAAAAACGAAATGAGAGGGAGATGCTCACTTTCAACATTGAAATGAGTCTTCAATGGAGCGAAAAACGAAATGCGAGGGAGATACTCACTTTCGACAATGCGATGGGTCTTCAATGGAGTCACCGTGAGTCTTCTTCAATAGAGTTTGATGTTGCATCTTCAAGGTGGGTGTAATAGAAAATGGGTCTACACCTAGAACGAATGGTTTAGGTAGTTTGTATACAATGATGTTAGTTTAGGATATAATTGGAACATGTGATGTGTGGACTGAGAACAAAAACATAAAACTAATTTCATAAGTGTGTGCATTGAGAAATTATGTCCACAAAGATAAAAAAGAGTGTGCGGAAATAGAATTTCGTATCCCCTTCACATTTGAAAAATTACACTTACCCCCAATAGAATTTCGTATCCCCTTCACATTTGAAAAATTACACTTACCCCCATATCAGATTAAAATAACATATTTGCTCCTTAACCTTTATACATGTAAAATAATAAAATAATGTTGATATTTTGTTCATTCATCTTCTTTGGTTTAACTCACACCAAAAAAAAAAAAAAAAAAAAAAATTAAATTTTCGTGTTTTTTTTAATTTTTACTAAATTTTTTTAATATTTTAAACAATTTTTTTGTCTTTTAGATACACCTAATCTAGATATACTTAAGAAGTATAATATTTTGTGATTTTTTTAAAATTCACCAAATACAAAAAAAATACAAAAATACAAAAATTCAGTAATACTGTAATAAATGTGAATGACGATGTTTGGTAATATTGTAATAAATGTGGGTGAATAGACGAGAAAAAAAAAATGATGGTGGAAATAAAAATGAAAAATTATATTCATATATAAAAATTTATACAAAAAAATATCATAAAAATATCGTGATAACAATGTTGTTATAAACATAAATCATGTTTATAAATGTTTTGTTTTAAAGTGAAATGCCATTATTAAGCTATATCATTGTATTTGAAAATTTTATTTAAAATTTATATTTGTATATCATCACTCAAAAAGAATATGTTCAGGTAGAATTTAATGATAAAAAGTTGTAGAATGTAGTCATGATGATAGAAAGAATAAATGATAAGAAAAATGACAAAATGGTTATTTAAAATATTTCAAGGCATGACATCAGCAATCCAAACGTGAGGGGGAGATCAGGGAGAGGAATGTAATTTTTCAAACGTGAGGGGGAGATCTGTATTATACAGAAACCTCAGGGGGGTGTCAGTGTAATTTACCCTAAATTTTTATATGAGAATCTTTTTTATTTGGAAAATATTTCAAAATGAGTACAAAAATGACTTAAAATATGAGATTATTCAAACATTTCAAAATGAGTACAAAAACTCTTTAGTAAGTTTTGGGTAAATGTATAATTTCAAATTGTAACAATCCAATGTAACACTTTAAAAAATTCCTTAATGTACTTTTTCTAAACATAACATTCTAATATAACATTCCAAAAGAATTCTTTAGTGTAACACTTCAATGTAATACACAAAAAAACTCCTTAGTGTATTTTTTCCAAACATAACGCTCCAATGTATCATTCTAAAAAAAGTTTGTGGAATTTTTCAAACCATTTCAAAAGAATGTGAGATTCTTCAAACTATTCCAAAAAGAGTACAAAAATTTCTTAATAAATTTTGGACAAATATATAATTTCAAATTATGAGTGTTATATTTGGAAAAAATACACTATGGAGTTTTTTAGTATTTTTGTATGTGTTACATTAGAGTTTGTTACATTTGAGTGTTACGTTTAGGATTACATTGAATAGTGTTACATTTGAAAAAAATATACTAGATGTTTTTTTGCGTTATATTGGAATGTTACGTTTGGAAAAAAATACACTAAGGAATTTTTTAGTGCGTTACATTGGAGTGTTACGTTATTGAAGTATTACATTTTTGTTCGTAATATGAGATTTGTTCTAGAAAAAGGAAAAATCCAAAACATTTATAGTACAGATTGTACAAATGAGTAATTTCACATTTGGAGAAACCCACTTTTATCCCTCAAAAATTAAATCCAAACGTATAAGTGATTATTCTGTTGTGTAACTTCCATTTTAATGAGACATTGGGGTTCATAAGAAAAAGAAAGGATTAGATGGTTCACAAGATCACATTTTTTTAGGATATATTGGTGCATCACCCTTTTTAAAATTTAAAAAAGAAAACTTACAAAAATTAAATATTGAAAAAAATAATAAAATATATTTAAAATAAAAAATTTAAATTTTTTTACATTTTAAAAAAATAGCACACAAATGTAGTAAATACGGGGCACATTAAAAAAATAAATATTTACAATAAAAAATATTTACCCTAAAAAAATAAAAATGAGAAATTTTTTAAATATTTAAAAATAAATAAACCCAAAATAATTTCAAAATACAACTCAAAACTCTTAACCAAACAAATTTTCTCTTTTCAAAACTCATTTAAAAAATTTATCTTTCAAAACATAATTTTACACTTAAATTATGGTTCCAAAATAAAAATGAAACGGGGCCCTTGTTGTCCAAAAAATTGTCTTAAGATTCATGCAAATATTATCAATATTTTATCTTTCTTTTTATTTTATTATTATTATTTTTGACTGCGGGCGTTTGTTTTGACATCTCAAGAGTTTCAATACGTTGTGTGCATTAGAGATTTCAAGAATGAATAGTGTATGGAATGAATTTTAGGAAATTAGTTTAGAGTTGACTTTTTAATTTTTTTACTTTATTTTTGAAAAACATGTAAAAAAGTAAAGAGATATAATTCAAAATAAATTTGATTTTTAACCAAGTTCCCAAATTAGGTTGCACATTTCCATTGACTACTTGAGAAAAGAGCACAGAGAAAATCTAAGAATTAGATCTGTCAAAATATGATCTTGGAAAATGTTTGGGACCCCACGGGACCCACAAAAGAGGACTCCCATAACCCTCACTAATGTATTGACCATTGATGTATTTGAATTTTTTCTGAAAGTTGTATCTGATAGTGACATGAATGATTCAGATCATTTTGGAATTATAGAATGATTCAGATCATTTTGGAATTATAGAAGTGTTTTGTGAAGGTCTTTATCATTACTGGATGAACTTTAACCCCCTTTTGCCCTGACATTACTGTGCAATATCTTGAACAGAAATGCAACAAGAAGAAATACAAAACTATAAAATACTTCAACTCAATGTATCCCATTTGTACAAAGCTCAGGAAAGTTTGATGTTCATATTCTCAGCAGCCAAAACTATGAAAGCTGTATGGTTCTGAGTTATTTGCTTTTCCTCCATTTTCTGGGTAACCAAACGGATGTTGCTTTTGCCCTCTTCTTCGGGAGAGAGATTTGAGAAGTTTTCAAGAACTAGTTAACAATAATTATGTCCTTTTTGTCAGAATAATGTAAATCATCCACCTCTATTGTATATGGAATGCCATTTTCCAGCAAGTAGGAGCTTCACTCAGACATTGAATGTCTGAACAAATGTACATATATCAAGTAAATTCACCAGCATATTTGACGAGTACACCTAAAATATCAAGAGGACAGCTGTTCCAGCATTAGGAATGCATCCGTCTTATATTTTATAATTAATAAATAAACAAAGTGAAAATGTGAACACGCAGTCGAAAAAAGAAGAAGCAATTCCCAGGACATATTATTCCATTTGAGAAAATGGATGGGACATGGTTTTGAATCGATAAATTCAGCATCTGAGTTTTTTTACAAAAGAAGGGAACAATTTTGCGGCATAGCAACAAAAGAATCAATCATTTCTAACAGAAGACTACAACAGAAAACACATATGCACCTTTGCCAAGCAAACATTCCATTTCAAGTGTAAGTTACTAGCAAGGGTTCTCTGGAGGCTTCTCCAGATGTATTTTTGTAGTAAAAGAACAATGCCAATTGTACTATCCCTAGAATGGCTCCTATTCCATTTGGGACCTGAAATTCAAATAAACTAGCCATGATTTACAAGTGTCATAAGTACATGAGACGAGAGAACAAAAGTACACTGAAAGAAGGAAGCTTACGTATATGAAGGGATCGAAATTGAAAATTCCATACAAGAAGAAAGCTGTGCTCATCAAGAACGTCGAAAGGGAAAGATAAAATGGCATGAATTCAACACTTCTTGTCCGGATCACCAATTTCTGGCAAACATGCATAATCAAGATGAGTAAATTGCCGTGAAAATTTGAGCAACGAAAAGATCTGAACCCTCCATAGAAAAAAAGTATAGAAGATGATGCATTAGATAAACGTACGATTATCAACAACGGTGAAGCAAACATTGATATAAGAGCAGCACCACTTAGAAACCCAATGCAGATGCGTCGTGCAGAAAGATCACTTATATGCAAGCTCCCGGCTACCACAATTGCAAATAGTCCAAAAACTGCCAGCAGCAACCCAAACATGCTCAGCTGTCAGAAAATTCCAAGAGACAAATGAATGAAAAGCGTACACGACACTAATGGTTTCAGAAACCAAGGTAGGAAAATACAGAGGTATGAACCTTTTTTGCTTTCTCGGTGAAAAAGAAAGCATTATAAGGCCTCAGGAAGAGGGATGCACGCGTGCTCGGATTGGCTTCGCCCGGAAATCCAATGCCATGCACAAGCTGCCTCTGTTTTCCCTGC